CTAAAACTCTACGCTTAACCTCAGCTATACTCGTCCGGTTTCCCCACCAGATTCATGCAATGCTGCGTAGACAGCGGTGTTCAAACACCGACAGTCTATCTTGATCCTGTTCCCGCATTGACCAAGTCTCTGCACCGTAAAGCAGAACTGACCGGACTGCTGCAGCATATACTCGACCCTTCACAGACAACCGGATGTTGCTACGGGGCCACAGATGTCTCAAGTTGGCAAATGCCAACCGAGCTTTCTGTATGCGCGCCGACAGTTCATCGGTGATGCGTCCGCCAGGTGAGATATAGTTTTCCAGGTAGCAAAACTTATCTACTTTCTCTACAACTTCCCCAGCCAGGGTGAGGCTGGGGACTGGGTCAACCCAATCTTGGGGCATCATTTTATACTTTGAAGGTGCAAAGAGCATGCCGAACATCGTTACACTAGCACTGAAACTGTCTAGAAAAGCTTGCAACTTACCTGAACATTCCCCCGTACAATTCTGAGATGATCCTGCTGTAGAACTGTCTGATGAAGCACGGAATACTTGGAAAGCTACATTTGCAGACTACTGGAATTTACTGTGTGTATTTACCCCGCCGTTACACCTAACTGAGAACGACAAGATCGAATTCTTCCAGCATCATTTGAGTCAAGAATGTAGACAGGTTTTTGACGCACTTGATCTGAAAGTCAAATCAAGTACACAAGAAGTCTCCCTGCATTGGACAGACACTTTAACCTTCGTCCTAGTATGTTCTTTATCAGATACAAGTTTTTTTTGCTGAAGCAAGCTCCTGATGAAAATTTGTCTACGTTCATTTCCCGTTTATTGTGCGCATCACGTCCCGGTGATTTAGATCGTTCGAAGCAGACCTATTGCCCCGTTTATTATCAGCATACATTAGACCACACACCGAGTATGCTATACAGACTTGGAATGCATGGTTAATTCGCGAACGAAAGGCACTCGAACGTCCGCAGAGAACAGCAACCAAAATGGTCAAAGAGTTACAAACTAAAATTTACTGTGAAAGGCTGCACTATATCAGACTCTATTCATCGGAATACCGTCGAATGCGGGAAGATATGATACTCGTATATCAAATACTACATCCGGCGAACCACCAGTGTAGCACTCTAATAACACTATCCAAGAAAGGTCACCTCAGAGGACGTCCGTTTTAACTTTTGCTCGAAAACAGTTGACTAGACTACATGCGTCACTCTTTCAGCCTCACATATTATAATACCTGGAACCCTCTTCCACCTCAAGTTGTTTGTGCACCNATTTCAATGCAATTCACACGACTCTTTTTGGTTTGTTTGGAATCAGGGTTTTGGGTCAACTCTCCTAGATGAACTGTCAGTAGTTCACCAACCTGGTTATAGCCCCGGATATTGGCTTTCGTCCTCTCACTTTGGTGGGAAAAGCTCCGTCACAAAAAGGCAGTGAGCAGGGTTTCTTCAACAGAGACTGTTTGAGACAGTTACCTCAGTGTCACAGTTGTAACTACTATGGGAGT